CAAAGACTGTTCTCTCTCTGCTATAATCTTCGCAAGATTCTTCAGTTCTCCCAGAATTAGGTTTGCATCTTCTCTTTTCTCTTTTCTTATTGAGTTAAGCTTATTTCCCATGGTAAAAAAAAAAAAAAAAAACCCTCCCCTAGTTGTAAGGAGGCTTATAAAAGCTATGGATATTTCTTTCTTCAGTTCACTTTTCCCTTGGTTCTCTGGTATCCAGACCACATTTATAAAATTGAATTGGGAGTTTGTTTGCTTTTTTTAATCTAAGAAACCATTGATCCACGTTAAAACGATTAAGCCACACAATGGTATATAGCTTATCAAATTAAAAAATATATATGTGTGTGTGTATATATGTGCAAGTGTGTGTGTGTGTGTGTGTGTGTGTGTGTGTGTGTGTATGTGTATTTAAACTTCTTTGGCCCAGGCATATAAATCACTTTTCATGAAATGGAACTATTAAAAGGCTTCACAAAAATTTTAAACACTTATTAGGCTAAATGTCTACCATATCAAATTGCTTTAGTCTGATATTACTGACATTAAATAATGTGTTCTAGTAAATTAAAACTTTAACAATTTCCCTCTTTATTATAAAATAGCCAATACAAACTACATTACACTTAAATATAAAGCAAAATTTTTAAAGGTGTCTAAAAATGAAGAATTGTAGGTAAGTCAAAGGACTGTACTTGTCCACTTATAAAATCCTTATAAATAGAATAAAAATAGAGACTACCTGGACTATCCCCAAACCGACAAATTTTCCAAAAGCGAGACCTGGTATTATCAAATGTATCTATAGAGTAGCTAAACAAACAAACAAAAAAAACCACAAGGTGAAACTAGTCTAAAACAATTTTCTATTTGCAATATCAATCAATAAAAAATAAATAGGGGCAGGTAAATATCTTACAAGAAAAAAATCAATACTGAGTTATCAAAAACAAATCCTAAAGTTTGGGCATTAGACATTTCCTCGATTGAGTCAAAACTGCCTTACCAAGAATTTTATCAATGACAACAAAAATTACTTTTATTTAGTATTTTTTCATACCTATAAGGCAATTAAAATGTTTTTAATGATGATCATAGGGTTTTATAGCATCCTAATGAGATTTCTAAATGATTTTTTTTAATTCTAAGTATATTCAGAACTTTAACTCTATTCTTTTTAATAGGCCATCCACAAACTACATATTAAAAATGATGATGTAAAATATGATGGTACATTCTTGAATATATTGGCCTGAAAAAATGTTCAGCACAAGTGACAAATAAGTTAAAAATATTATTTAGAATACAATCTTTCTTATTTGTTCTCCAACCTTACATAAAATTAGATCATGTGTGGTAAGAATGTAAATCATTTTATCTTTGTCAAGTTCATACTTGCCTTTATTATTGACAGTTCCTGTATACCCCACACCCAGTTTCCTCTATAATTAACGTCTGACATTCATATGGTATAAGTAACCCATTTAAAAAATGAACAATGGTTCTGAAGAGATATTTCTCCAATACATGAATGGTAAGTAAGCATGTGAAATGATATTCAACATCATTAGTCATTAGAGAGATGCAAATCAAAACCATAATGAGATACCACTATATACCCACGGGAGTGTTCATAATCAAAAAGACTGATAATAACAAGTGTGGGTGAGGATCTGGAGAAATTGGAACCTTCATCCATTGCTGGTAGAAATGTAAAATGGTGCAACCACTGTGCAAAATAGTCTGACGGTTCCTCAAAAAGTTAAAAAGAGTCACCAGATGACCTGTTAATTCCACTGGGTGTATACCCAAGAGAAATAAAAAGATGTCCACAAAACTTGTACACAAATGTTCATACAGGCATTATTCATAATAACCAAAAGGTGGAAGCACAAATGCCCATTAACTAATGAACTGGATAAACAAAATGTGATATACAGTGAAATATTATCCAGTAATAAAAGGTAATAAAGTACTGATAGATGATACAACATAGATGAATCCTAAACACATCTGGCTAAGTGAGAAAAGTCAACCACAAAAGAATACATATTGCATGAGTCCATTAATATGAAATATCCAGAATAGTAAATATAAAGGTAGAAAGTAGACTTATGGTTGCTTAGGGCTGAGAGAGATGGGCGAATAGGAGAGTCATGGCTAATGGGTATAGGGTTTCTTATTAAGGTGATAAAAACATTCTAAACTTGATGTGGTGATGGTTGCATAACTGTGAATATACTAAAAACCACTGAATTGTACACTATAACAAGTGAATTTGTAGCACGTAAATTATATCTTTAAGCTGTTTTTCTAAAATATCATCAGTATGAGAAATTTAACCTCCAGGCATCCACCTGCACCCTGAGTAGCCAAACAATACCCCTCCCTAACCAGCACACAAAATGGAGGTTTATTATTGAAGAATGTGAATCTGAACCAGAGGCTGCCTACAGGGTTACACAGGGAGGGGGCAGGGAGAGGGGTACACAAGTCTGAAATCAAGGAAAAGTCTGCATACTGAACAGTATGATAACCAGATTCTTTCCCCATCTCCTTTTTCCATTTTATAACCACCAAAAGGAAACTAGCAGATCACTCTTAGCAGAAACTAAAGAGACACGGAGAAAAGACCTATATAGATTGTAATATTTAAAAATTTCCCAATGAGATATCTGGCACTTCTCCTTATCATCCTACAGTAATGCTTCCCTAAGACCAATATTCATGTATTCAACTGCCTACTCGATATCTCCACTTGGATGTCAAACAGGTATGTCAAATACAACATATCTAAAACCAAACATATCCTGATCTCTCCCAAATCTACTCCGCTTGCATTTTTTTGCCAGATGAGTATATAGCAATGCCATTTACTGTCTGCTCAGAGATACAGAGACATAGAAATAGAGATATATTTACCTGTAAACCTTTTTATCGTTTGGTTGTCTTTCTATTTTATTTAAAGTGGGGTTCCACTTACAACGACTTTAATTCTTTGTAGTCAAAGTTATAAATCTATTCCTTTACTGATGTTGTTCCACTGCTTTTACGATTAGTAGTAAATCATACCGTACTCAGAGAGCAGAAAAAATTAATCTGAATTTTCTTTAGTTTATTATAATTTTTAATATTTCACTTTTTAATCCAACTGGAATTTATTTGAGAATATAATGTAAGACAGGAATCTAATTTTATTTTGTCTCAAATAGTAAACCAATTGTTTCAACACAATTCACTAAATGATCTTTCCTATCCTCACTGATTTAAAATATCTAAATGTACTAAATGTTTATAAATATTTTATAAGTCTACTACTGGTCTTTTGATTCTGTTCCATAGAAAGTCTGGTCTTAAGAGTTATTGTACTTTTTGACCACTCAACAATCTTTTCCCCTTCTTTTAGTACCAGCACCTTGATTTTCTTTCTAAGAATTTCTTTTCGGGACTTTAATTTTAGTAGAATTAAAAGGGATTTATTTGGGGCGAATTACTTTCAATCAAATATTCTCTTCCTGGGATTTGAATCTTGAATAAAGTTACAAAAAGAATACAAATGATTGGTACCAATTCACCCCAACTTCATCCATCATTTCTACTCCCAAGACCTCTGGCAATGTTCTAGGATTCACATGCTTCCTGAGCCTAATTCCTCAGTGTTCCTTCTGATTCTGGAACAGGACTCCCATATTCTCCCAGTGAATTAATTCCCTTTTTAAGTTAACCAAAGTTTGTTTCTGTTACATAGAACCAAAAACCACAACTGATTCGTTACTGAAATTCTACAATATATATTCACTTCTGGTATAGTAAGTTCCCAAACATAACTCTTATACAAATATTCTAATATTCTCATCTGGCTCTTTAGTTTTCACATGAATTTTAGAATCTGTCTTCTCAAAATAATTCATTGAATTTTTTATTGGAACTGCTGTAACCCATAATATAATCCATAATATAATCCAGGGATGACTCTATGTCTTTACAGTGTTAAATGTTCCTAAAATGTCTTGCCATTTTCTTTTAAGACTCTCAGTTAAACTTCATAATTTTTCATGTATTTGTTGTTAATTGTAATCCTATTTTTATCACTGTGGTGAAGACAACTTTTTTTAGTATTTTATTCTCTGACTATTGCTGGTATGTAAGAATGTAAATATAACTGTTATATATTATTTTCTTCCTGGCCTCCTAACTGAATGTTCTTACTAGTGCCAATAATTTTAAAGTTGATATTTTTGTTTTAGCATTCAGAGTTACAAGCATATCATCTGAAAATAATAAGAATCATACCTCCTTCTTTCCAAAAATTATAATTCATACTGCTATTCTTGCCTTTATTTATTTATTTGGCTAAAAATTTCAAAACAATGTTAAATTACAACACTGAGTTTAACAAGAGTACTGCTAGCATTTTATCATTAAATAGTCTTTATAAATGTTTATTTACTTAATAACAATTGTAAGTTATGTTTAGGATAAACTTCTTTATTAAAATATTTAATTTCCCACAAAGAAAATTTTTAAAAGAATTAAAAATTTAATTCCAAGATTTGATTTGATTCAAGATTAATTAAAGTAAATGTCATTATTATTTACTTATAAAATCATATTTTTCATTTATAAATTGATGTTCCTTTCCCATCTAGTCTTACCTGTAAATCATTCCACAAAATCATGCAGCTAGTATACATAATTCAAACTACAAAGTTAGAATCTAATATTATGTATATAAAATCACTTCCTGTATTGCTTCCTCAGCCTTACACTGTAAACAATTGCCCTCAAACTTTCCAAATATTTCATGAGAATGGTTAAAAAATGATTTTTAAAATTAAAGACAAAATGTAAGTTACTCAAATAAAAAAGTTTTCAAAGAAGCCAAATATTTGATATAAATAAATGCCAAAAGTTAGTTTTAGATTTTATTGAAAGGTAAAATATTCTCTGACCTTAAATTACTGACTAGATAATATATGTTATAAAAGAATGAGAAAATATACCTCAAATTCTTTTCTAAGACATTCCTCTCGTTGAGTGCTAAATTCAAGTTCACTTGTTTGTTGCCGTAAAATGTCAGAGCAGTCCATGTGTTCGGCTTCTAATTTTTCTACTTTCTTATGCATACTTTGTACAGCATTATCTTGCTCCTAGAAAATAATTCATTTGGGGTCAATAAAGTTTATAAGCCAATGATGACTAAAACTTATTCTACAGAAGGCAGTGGGTAACTAAATTGTGCTTCAACCAGAATAATAGGTTAATTTATATAGGCAAAAGAGACCTAGATATTTTCCAGCAATGTTTCAGAATATACACATATTTAAAAAGCACTACTGGAGTTTTACAATTTAAGAAATCTGATTAATACATACAATTGAAATGTGTATAGCTTGCTATAATTTTGTTAGTTCAATTGACTTTTGAGGGTATTTACATAATGCTGTAGTTCAACTGCCATTTATGTTTCCCTCTCTCAATAAAATTTTCAAGTATTTAGTAATACAAATGTATATTGGTCCTTTGTGTGATAAGAAATGATTGGCCTCAATGCCTAATAATGACCATTGAGACATTTTTATGAGAGTTTGTGGTACTTCAACCATGCCTGCAGCTCTTAAAAGTTGCATCCACTAGATGGCTGTATTTCATTTTCTCTTCAGTTTTTAAATTTTCGAATCTTTGCTGTACTATTGAAAGAAAAATAATATCAGGTAGTCTTCTCCTTAAATCTCTCCATCTCCTTCTCTAACTATACTCAGAAATCAGTTGAATTTTATGGAAGTTCAAACATAACATTAACATGCATATCAAAGGTATTTTCCCCAGTAAATACTCTAGATTCATCACTCTCCTTTGAGGTCTTTAACAAAGCCCTCTTTCCTACCTTTCCCTCATCAGTGTAATCTCATTCTGGGACATATATTTATGCATGCTTCCAAGTATCCCTTGCCACTCAAACGTATCATTGGAATCTGAGTGAGAAATGTTGCAAGCACCAAATATAATTCTCTATAAAAAGACTCTAGTTTGAAAAGTACCCAGCAGTACAGTCCACAAAGAATGAAAAACAAAATTTAATTCATCTCTCCACATCCTCTCATTCATAAGATTACAATTCTAGAGCTTACTATACATGAACTCTCAAGAATTATTTTCTTCAGGTAAGAAACTTCTTAGTATACAGAAGCTCACCTACCTACACATTTTCAGCCTGTAAATAAGCATGGATAAGAACAAAGCTGGGCACCAGAGGAGAAGTGTGCCAACACTGTCTACAACCAGCAGATAGCACTCTCAGTTTTTATAATGATACTTTGGATTCAGAAACAAATGGTATTGTGAACAGCCTTATGTAATCAATTTCATCATAAGAGTACCTTCATGTATAAAAGTACTTTTAAGATCATTAAGCACTACAAGATACTATTATTACATGATAGGTCTCCCCACCTCAGTCAATGGTACAAATATTAATTCAAATTCACTGTTAAATTACATGCCTTCTTGATTTACAGATATTTTTTATCTGTCACTTAGAGTACTATGTATACTTATAAGTGAATAAACAGCAATTTACAAGGTTAATCACAAAGTAAATCCAGTAATTTGAAATAAAAACAAAATAAAGTCGATATCCAAAATATGCATGTACCCTAGTTAATGGCAATTATTTCCAAAAATATTTATTAAACAATGTAAAAGAAATTAAAGTATTCAGGAAGCATCATGAGATTTACTTATAAGAAAATGTGACTTGTGATTCCCATTTTACTGATACATAGTATAGAAAGACAACATACAGTCATTTAAAATACCATTCCCCTAAACAAAGAGTGTGCCCATCATTCCATGCAAGTGTGAATTAATCCTATAAAAAGAAACAACTGAATAATCAATGGCCAATCAGTTAAGGCTTATTATGCTTATTTCGGTGTGATTTTAACTTTATGATACTTGACCTATATTAAATATTATTTATCAAGCAAGTTTTAAACAAAGGTCTTTCAAGACGTAGATGTAATTCTGACATAAAAATCACAGTTCTAATGCAGAGGTCAAGTAGTCACTAATACTATGTGATAATTACTATACATTCTTGAATATGGATAGAAACACACACGCAGTTTTTATAGGAAAAACCACTTTTCTCAAACAGTGGAGATTTTTAGGAATTCTAGTCACATTACAAGAAACACATTACATAATCAAGTTAACTGATTATATTAAGTTAAAATTACATTGATTTCCTAATGCTAAACTCACTTGGCATTTATTATATAAAGACCTTTTATATTTTATATTTTTATATTTTGTTGCATACAGTTGGCTAATATTTTGTATAATATTTTTGTATCCATATTCATGAGTGACATTAACTATAATTATCTTTTCCTGGATCCTTTTCAGTTTAGTACCAAGATCTGTCAGTTTAGCATATTAGCAAGATTTTTCCATTCTCTGTTAGAGTTTATGTAATACTGAAATTATTTGTTCTTTGTTTCATTTTATTCATTGGTGAAGCAATATAAGGGCTTGAAAATTTGACGACTCAACCAAGTTTTCTACTACCTACCTCTTCTTAAGTTTCAAATATACAGCCAGATAATCCTACAGTGAAGATCATGGTTGAAATAGCTAACCAAAACACTCAAAGCATCAAATAAGCTTCTTAGTCCCCTACTCTTCAAGGTGATAAAAGGGATATTTGAAAAAATTCCCCAACATAACAGACGAAATCTACATCAAATTGGGAGAAGAAAAATAACTTGAAAGAAACTAAAAAGAAGAAAACTTCTAATTACCTTCAGAGAACATAAACAGGTCCAGAACGGCAGAGTAAAGACCAAAAAATCCTTTCCTCCATAAAAACAACAAGAACACTGGCAAAAAATGTCAAGATCAAATTTTTCATAACTAGAAATTAACCAAAGGTTTGCAATAATCCAAAAAGCATGTATTCTAAAGAATCAGCTGAATCTTGACAAAAATAGTGAGTTTTGTGGCATTTTAATTTGTCCTATCCCATGCCCCTCATCCCAGCTCCTGATGGCCTTAAAAATCAACAGCGTCAATCAACAGCCAAGACATGGAAACAACCTAAGAGTCCATCAATGGATGAATATATAAAGAAAATGTGATATAGATAGCTAGCTAGGCAGACAGACTAATATTATTCATCCATTAAAGAGAAAATTCTGCCATTTGTGACAACACAGAAGGACCCTGAGAGCATTATGCTAAGTGAAATAGGCCAGAGAAAGCTAAATATCATATGCTTTCACTTACATGTGGAATCTAAAGAAACCAAACTCATAGAAACAGAGATCAGCTTGCTGGTTGCCAGAGGCAGCGGGTGGGAGGTGGGCTAAATGGATGAAGTTAGTCAAAAGGTACAAACTTCTAGTTTTAATAAGTTCTGGGGATGTAATGTACAGCATGGTGACTATAGTTAACAATATTGTATCGTCTATCTGAAAGTTGCTAAGGAAGGAAATCTTAAAACTCATCTCAAGAAAAAAATGTAACTATGTGAGCTGATGGACATTAACTAAACTTACTGTGGTAATCATTTTGCAATAGAGATATATACCAAATCATTATGTTTTGCACCTTAAACCTATTCAATTTTATATATCAATTATATCTCAATAAAACTAGAAGGAAAAAAACCTGCTGCAGCTATGAAATACAGCAGCCTAGCTGCTTTTAACACTAGCATTCAGTTAAACCAGAACTCAACTATGAGATTAAAAGTGAGACTGTAGGTCTATCAGAAGATAGTAAGAAGAAAGAGCAGAAAGAGGGGATCAAGAGTTAAAAAGACTGGATCGAATATATCCAATCACCTGTGCTTGCTCCAAAACCCCACTTAAATAATAATAAAGAATAAAAACAATGGCAGAGATGACAGCCAATAAGAGAGGTCAAAAGCTAATTTGGAAGATGAAAAGCAAATGGACAAGTGATAAATGGCTTAGGTTCAGCTTATTCAACTTTGGTAAATACTTAAAAAGGAATAAGCATAGTAGCAAGCTGATTCATAAAGATCCACAAAAGATCAGAAATTAGAAGCACCAATGACCCCTGAAGCAAGACATGGGATAGAAATGAACAGAGAACTTTGTTGGAAGCCTTTATAAGCAGCAGTTAGTTATATCCTCAGACCACCTCTGCCAGATCTCTCCCTGACAAATTCCCCTCTCCAACCTGGAAAAAAAAGGAAAGAATTTACTAAGTATAAAGGTTGATCCAAAGAGGTTCTGAGATCATGAAAATCAGATATAACTGGGGGTCAGGGTGAGACACATCTCCCTCTCTCTCTTCAGCTCCCAGAACGCTGATTCCTACGTTTAAAATACCATAAGGAGACGACTAGATTCCTTCATGGGGAAACTGCCAGTCCAAGAGAAAAGAGCTTTGGATACTGACATTTTTAAAATTCTCCACACAGAGCTTCCTCTCAGCTTTTTCAGTGCCTCATTTTTAATATGAACACACAGCCAAGGATCATTAGATATTTGAGGAAATCTTCTCACGTGAAAATCAGAGACTACCACAAACAAATTGGGCGAAACACTGAGAGAAAATAAAGACAATCAGAGATGGGGGAAAAATACCTTCAATACAAATATGACTTACACCCTCAGAGAGTTAAAAACAAGATACTACAAGCATGAAACAAGAAGAGTCTACTATTATAAAAAGGCATGATCAAAGAACAAGAGCTCTTAGAAATTAAAAACCTAAAAGCAGAAATGAAAATTCAATACAAAAGTTGCATTATAAAATTGAGGAAATACCCATAGAAATAATATTGATTCATAAGTAGACAAATATGTAAGTGGAATGAAATAGAGTGCCCAGGAATCAAGTCTTAGATGTAAAGGAACTTGGTGTATGACAGAGACGACATTATAAATCACTAACTGGTAACAGAATAGACAGCTGAATAACTGGTACTGGGACATTTGGTTATTCACTTGGAAAAAAACAAAATTAGATCTCATCTCATGCTGTACCGAGAAAAATATTGTCTTTATGACTTCATGTTACATATACATGAAAAGCACTATACATGAAGACATAAATTCAATTACATTAAAATTTAAAACTGTACATCGAACACAATGCAAATTATCTCCCGATC